GAGTGACTTCGGTTTGACGAAGGTACCACATCCAAAGTAGGAAGTCCAACCCGGGTGCCCTGCGCTAGCAGAAACTAGTGGAAGGGTTGTAAAAGCCGGAGTTGGGAGTCACTACCTGCAGAGCCTTTTAGTGTACTCCTTAGAAACTTTCCCCCTGAACCTTGAGTGGAGGTCTTAATTGATCTCTTAGTTGTGCTTTTCTAGTTTCAGGTGTGTGTTGGGGTGAAATACTCTACACTGTGCATCCTCCGAGTGACCTCCGAATTGAGCACTTGCAGTATTTCTGGGAGTGACAGTCGCCTGAGAATTCAAACTCTTCAATAGTCTGTTAAACGTGACACTTTGTACTCTGTGTGTTGCCTTTGTCCATGTGGGTTTGACCTTTTTGCTGCTATAGTGCAGTTTTAACCTTTGGTGGATTATTACAATTACAAAACTCTATATTCATCGCTAAATTAGTGTAGAAGTGCTCATCTAGTGTCTTGGAGTCTTAGGAAATTTTTATTCAGAAGCTTAGTGTTGCAAGTAGTATTATATGAAATCCAAGTGTGGGGTTCTGGTTGTAAGAAGACACGTTGGAAGCGTGTAGAGAGGGTGTAGAAAATATTTTCACAAGAAGAATTGGGTGTGAGAAACCAAACTTCATATGCTATTCCTCTTGTGGAAACAGGTTGTTTACCTCTAGAGGGTGAAGCTCTATACTTGACCATCATTTACATCAACAGGGTGAGATCTCTTGATGCTTCTCGCCTTCCTCCTCAAGCTTTGAATGCCACACGTGCCAAAGGATGGTTAGCGGATGTGATAATTTGGTCTTTGAGGTAAAATGTGACGGAACGCGATTGAGACTTGCAACCTATAGCACTACGTGAACGTCAAAAGGAGTAGTTTTGAACATTATTTGGAGCAAGCGCGGCACCAAGATGAAGTTTTATCAACTCCATGTGAATCCCATGTTTGTTTATTGTGAACATGATTACCTACTCTACGTCCTTACGTCATATTATAGCTAGACATAAAATTGGATTTCATAGGTTAGGAATTGAGGAAGGACGTTGGCTTAGTATTGATAGGAGTGAACGTATTTGTAGATTATGTGACGATGGGTACATTGAGGATGAAGAGCATGTGTTTGTTACTTGTTCTAGGTACGAGACATTAGGCTTGCTCATAATATAGATGTTGAGAATTTTTATTCTTTGTTACAGTTAGTTCCATTTGATTTAGATTTTTATATTAGGGACATTATTAGTTTCCGTTCTAGTGCTCTTGGCACTAGCTAGGGATTGGCCTTTGGGGTATTTTCCTTGTTTGTGGTTGTCGCTTGTATTGTTTTTTTCAGCCTTTTGACACTTTGGATCCCCCGGGGTTGATCTACTACCATTTATACTCTTTGATATACATCTTTCGGAACATATTTAATGTAAATCAAAGTATATTTCACCCTTATAAATAAATAAAAACTTCCGGCGAGCTCCTGTGCTTCAAATGCTGGAGGGCTTAATGTCTAATGATGCTTAAGAGACAAAAGTTCATGAAATATCTATGTATTGTATCACCAATATATGAGCAAACAACACTAGCTAGTTGTAACTAAAGGCATCAAATTTATTAACAAGGAAACAATCAACTCTATATATTTTTAGTTATGAATTGTGCACGCATGACATAAAATAAAATTTTATATTATATATAGATTCATATAGGTTTTCACGAATCAGAGTGGCGCGTGGTGGGCCCATAAACCACAGGCCCCAAGATCGAAACTTGGCTGTGATAGACTCTACTTTAATCTTAACCTTCTCCATGTTTGATGTTTTTTGCTCTTACTCTATTTTCTAGCCTTTTGACCTTTGGGTCTCACGGGCTTCATCTATTTACCATATGTTAGTAAGTTTTTTGCAAAAGATCTTTTAACAAAAGACAGAGTCGGCTTATTTTTGAAAACTCGCCTTAGTAAGAGCTCGTATGGTGAATAATTATCAATATTAAAGAATATACGCATTATCCCATCAATAAGTTTGAGGGGTGCATATTCCGTTCTAGATATAAACATAATGGGATAGTATATTTAGCAAGTCAATGATTTGAGAAGTATACTGCAAAGAGCTAGCATAAAGAATTTCCAAAGTCCAAATTAAATTGAAAAGATAGCAATTATTCATGATGTACATTTTTCTTCGATACATATCATAGAGGCTACGTCCTAACATTCTTTGTTCATAATAAGTGTCTCGTATAAAATTAGAGAGACATTAGAATTTAGAAAATATTTCAAGTGTTTTCAATCCTTTGTAGAGAATCGAGGGACCAATTTCGTTGATACCAATTAAGACGAAAGAGGTAAGTTGACTGACGGTTGCAAGTTACAAACTTACAAGTTAGTTATGAAGGTTAACCTTGCGTTCACCTGCCAGCCAAATGTTTCCCTGAATTGCTTCAAAGTCAAAGCCTTTGGTGAACCCGATCTTTTGATTCACAGTCAAAATGTACTCGGAAAAACGAAAATCAAATCCACAGCAACGGGGGACCCTCGGAAGAATGAGTACGGTGAAGATGGACAAAACGTAAGGGCCCCCAAAGGTCCAAGAACCAAAGGACAATCATAAAACAGATACGTGAAACTCGCTGCACGATCATCTTCCTTCTACAGCGGGATTATCTTAGAGCTTGCTTCAGCCATGATTCTTTGGCTCTTAGATGCGCTCTGAAGCAAACTGATCAAGCCCTTGTATTGCTCTCTTTGGAACTTGCAATCACCAACCTACACAATCTCCATATTTAATATCCCGAACATCTTGTACTGAGAATTGAAAAGCTGTTAACGAATGAATTTGCTCTAATCTCAAGCTTTGATCTTTGGTTGCGACTGAAGCATAGGAGCATGCATCTGAATGACAAGCTATATTCTATGATATGTATAATTTTTCATATTTCACTCTTTATTTATGTCTTTGAGATGATTTATTTCAAAATTATATTATATTCCTATTTTGTAAGTACTATTTTCGATAAAGAATGCAATATGTACCAACTTGGCCCTCTCTGTTAAAAATTATTATGAAAATTATAAAGCCAAAGATTTAACATAGAACTAGACCTGATAGCATAACAAAATGATCTGAGATTATTATAGAAGAATCTTATGAAACAAAATCGGTTAGCTGTGGATAAATTTATCAAACATTCCGGTTATTTCTTTACGATAGTTCAGATATTGTAGCTTATGTAAAGTATACTTCTCATCATTGCTATGGATAACACCAACTAGAAAACAACATAATCTCAACTCACGAAACGTGATGCACATAACTTAGCTAACATACTGCTCAAATGCGTGCTACCATCTAATACAGTGTTATTATCAGTTCTTCAACGTACTGTACTTGCAGAAGTACACTGGAGCATGGACTTGTGACCATGACCAAGACCATGTGTCGCTTCTGGTTCTTCTAGGCCATAACTGCATACGGTAGCACACATGTTCCCTACACGGAAACTGATCTCTACGTGTACGGCGTAGGCGGTATCGATGTCATTTGTGTACTCGAGATGAAGGTGATATCTGATCCGAAAACCAGACGGGATGGTGCAGAATCAGTGTAGCGTGGTCAAATTCGCGTCTAGATTTGGGTCACGCGGCGACAGGGACATTTCCAGGAGTACAACAAGTGGTCGCAACAGAGCAAAAAGGGTCGGAAAAGGAACGAGGAAAATCTCCGCGAATAAGCTCGTCGTTACAACACGGACGCAATCATCGAGGCCGAAAATGATGCGAAGGTTCCGCCGTGCACACAAGTCATCGAAAAGATCGAAAAGTGGACATGGACCCGAGTCATGATTCTCAACTCCTCGCAGCCCAGCTTTAGGGGCAGCTGCGATGCCCGACTGCGCTATAAGTCGGACGAGTTGATCATGTTGCCTGCACGTAACCGAGGTCTTGTCAGCCCCGTCGGCCATGTCACCTGTCGGCTGACTGTCACCTGTCGGCTCGCCTGATTCTGAGCGCCATGTGGCGTGCAGAGAAGAAAGCATACCTGTGGATTCGATCCCCTTTCCACGATGCGTTGACGTCCAGCAGTCAGTCAATCAGTCAGTCCACACTCTCCTCAAAATTTGGGGCACAGTTTCCTAGTCGGTCCTGGAGAGATGTGCTGGAGTGGGAGCAAGGGAAAATCTGGAGTCCCGAGTCTTCTTTCCGAACAAATGTGCGACCTTTGTCGGTGACGATTTGATGCTCCACTTTCTCCTGGCTTCGAGCGAACGTCGGGGGAGGGGGGAGGGGGGAGGGGGGAGGGCGGCGAGGAAATGAGCCTTCGAGCAATTGAGGCATGAGATTTCATTCGCTCTTCTCATGAGAGGGCGGCAAATCGAGGGCACCAAGCCATCATCGATATGAACGCTATGACGAAAAGGGAGTATGATTGTTGGTCGGAAGCTGTAGCTCACAATCTCATGGGCTCCACTGTTCGCGCCGCTCAAAAACTCCGTCATACATTATTATACTCCTCTCTTGTGCGATCGAGCTTCGTTCCTGACAATGTTCACGTGTTATTAGGACGCTGCCGTCCTTTACGAAGGGCCACCATATGGGTGTGTGCCTAAAAGCAAGATCACACCTCTCTCCAAGCAGGAAACTCGAAAAGAAATATTGGACACCAACATCGTGGGTCCGGGCCGGGCCTGGCCGAGCTCAGCTCCCCAAGGTTACAAGAGTTTCCTTCCAGCTCATGTTAGGTCCCAGTTAAGTCTGTTCAGTGTCACCAATTTCAGAGGTGCCCGGAGGTTACTAAACTAAACGATCGACTAATGGTACTCTGGCATTAACACGAATGGCATTTCCCACCATCATCCAGCCTACTCTGAGCAGTCTGATACGCAATCGAGCCTGCTGCCTCTGATGTAGCTTTTGCAGCTTTGGTGGGGGGACCTGGATAATTGCCTGTCATTTTGGCCGGGCAAGATATAATATAAACTACTCGCAAACCGGGCTCGGGCTTATGCTTGAGATTTTCCGTGCTATGGACGTGATCCAATCGAGATGTTCGCGCGTCTGTGTCCGACTCCAACACGCGACATTCATTTGTGAGATGTCTAGCTTTCCACAGAAAGGGCTAGTCTGAGACCTGGAGAGCTTGCTCATCTGCCTTCATTCCTCTGCCTACAGGTGCAGCCGAGGGGGAGACCCCGGTGCGGCCTCCGCTCGTGCCCACAGCATGCTTTAGAGCAGCATCCAGTCAAAGTTTCGGTCTTCAGATCTTTATCGTTAAAGCAGAGAGACTTTTTCTACATTCTCTTGACCAGGGTCTCTCCGAGACAGGTGTTTCTCCGAGAGTATCTAACTGTCGGTGTGATGACGATTTCTGTTCACAGCGGATATGTGTGCACGGCAGTGGTATCCTCGCAGCACCTCACCACTCGCTCGCACACTGGTCAGCTCGTCCGCAAAAGCTATAAAAGTTGGAGCTGTGCTTCTTCCCTGGGGTCCAAAACCGTATGAACAGGATAGCCCTGCGGTGTGACCTCCATCTGAAGAGATCTCTACTCTTCGGAGAGAGATATGTCGTCAGATTGAGAAGCCAAGTCTCACTGCGGGCATTGGAGGCTCGCACAGGACAGGGCAGCTCTGCGTGTCTCGCCACCAGCCTCGTGCAGTCGGGCGCTGTGGATCAGCTGAGCTCAAGGTATACATTGATCCTGTCGTTTCTGGCTGGTCACACGGAATTCAACCTAGTTCACATCTGCATGGCAACTCGGCCCTGAGAGTGGAGACTCATTTAACTTCTCGGTTTCTTTAGATATGATCAACTGTGATCATGTGGTGATGGAATCAATGAAGTGTTGTTTATCATAGCTCGTGGTGAGTGGGGCAAATATACGCTTCATGTACATCCGATGAGGTGATATTCACATTAGGCGTTGACACCTGAACGAGTCCTGCGAAAAATCGAGTACGTTGGCGTTCAATTGCCCTCCCGTTGAAGTGCCAGTGGCGTTTTGCTGGAGTAGTTCAACGGTGGACCAGTCCCTCGTTTTGCGGAGCTAGAGCGAAGCCTTCAGAACTCGTATACGTACTACTGGCTAGTCACTCTGTTTCCTTCTTGCACTCTGCACACCTCGTGTCCTTTGAGCACTTCGGAGGAACAACTGCATGTTTTCAGTATCAAAATATCGTTCTAGAATTCCAGTCTTCTAAAAATCAGCGCACGGACTCATCTCACACGCTGCGTCTCTGAGTTTCTTGTATTCCTCTTCCTCAGGTCTCCTACACTGCACAATCTTCGTTGCATGCAGCAGAACTCATTATCTATCCGTATTCGTTCTACTGCCGAGTCCATATTCACTACTTTTTGACGTCAGTCAGAACATGGCTGATGCTCATAGCCAGAATATGGCTGATGCTCATAGCCAGAATTTGTGTGAGATGGGACACGATTAAAATAGCACCGTTTGCTTGACTGGTTGATTATGATCTGCGATTCATCTTGATAAATTTGCCGTTGCCACGGAGTACAGCAGTTGACAGTGAACGTTTACTGTTCGCAGGGTAGATTCTGCCTGGGAGTAGAAATACTCCCGTCACTCTTCAGCCACAGCAAGAGAGAGCCTGTTCACACACTCTGCCACAATGGCAGGGGGCATGGTGCCCATGGTGGGCGCCGGAAAGCAATATGCAGGGCGGCTTACTCAGTACGTCGTCTTCGCTTGTATTGTGGCCGCCAGTTCTGGTATCATATTCGGCTATGATTTGGGCGTCTCAGGTACTGTCCTCTGCAACTACTTCTCGCTATCTAGTCGCTATGGTACATGTTCTGAAATTTTCAAATGTCAGAAAAAGTTCCAAATCTATGAAAAAAAATTTCGATTGCAGAATTCTCACTGAATTATTTTCTGCCGACAGTAGTGTTCGAATCCTTGATTGCTCGTATGGCCTTAGCTCAAACATGCAGTACAGCACCCATTCCAGTTCTGATCACAGTGCTGTCAATTTTGCTGGTAGGTGGAGTGACGTCCATGGACGATTTTCTGTCCAAATTTTTTCCTTCCGTTTACAGAAACGAAAAAGCGGCCGATGAAAGTGCCGAAGGGTCGGACAACTACTGTCGCTACAACGACCAGATTTTGCAGTTGTTCACATCGTCACTGTATTTGGCCGGTCTATGCGCGACCTTTTTCGCGAGTTACAGTACCCGCAACTGGGGACGGAGGCCAACGATTATTATTGGCGGTGTGAGCTTTCTGCTCGGCTCCATACTTAATGGAGCTGCACAAGACATCGCCATGCTAATTATCGGTCGAATTCTACTCGGAATCGGAGTTGGTTTCGCCAATCAGGTCAACCTTCTTTTAGAACAATTAAATTTTTTTCTCCATCACACATATAGAGCACTAAAGTTCATGGAACTCGGGATCCGGGGACTTATTGAATCTAGTGAACTGATTTTAACCGGATCTTCTAAAATCGAAGGTTGACGCAGCACACAATGTGCCGGAAATCTGATCAGATCCAAGAAAATAATTTTGCTTCATCAAAAGGAAATTTTTGAATCCGATCCCAGAAAAACGACATGAACCGTTCTGGAGGGTCAAAAGATTTATCATGCTGGGAGACTTTGCTGCTTCTTGATTTCCTGTACTTCCTTATCTTATCTCCTTCCACAAGTATTTGTCCTCTACTTCTTGGTATTATGCAGAAATGTTTGAAGTCTACTTTAGTGAGAAACGTTTTTCCGATGAATCCACTTTTCTAGGACGCTTTCTTTTGTGCTGGGTTGCAAATCGTCAAGCTAAAGAGAGAGCATCATCCTGGCATGACCTTGACAAACATTCTTCTAGGCAGAGGTTTCTGTATCACACTCCTGGTCAGTTCAAGAATGTGCGTGAGCGGAACAAGTGCGGTTGAACTCCTCATGAGGATGCTGTCATGATTATCTTGACCATGCTGAAATGCAGGCTGCGCCTCTCTACATCTCTGAAATGGCCCCAGCCAACTACAGAGGAGGCCTGAACATCTGCTTTCAGTCAGCAACAACTATCGGTATTCTAGGCGCCAATCTCATCAACTACTTCACCGGTAAAATCGACAGATGGGGCTGGCGTCTTTCCCTGGGCTTGGCAGCAGTCCCTGCTTTCACTCTTACACTGGGAGCTCTGTTTTTACCGGAAACCCCCAACAGTTTGATGGAGCGAGGCCAGCTAGCCAAAGGCCGGAAGAATTTGGAGAGAATCAGAGGAGTTAAAAATGTGGACATGGAGTACGAGGATCTGGTGGAGGCCAGTCGGATCTCTAACGCAGTCCAACACCCATTTAGAAATCTGCTTCTCCGTAAGCATCGTCCGCAGCTGGTCATGGCAATTTTCATCCCCATGTTTCAGCAGTTGACAGGAAACAATGCCATCACATTCTACGCCCCAGTTTTGTTCAAGAGTATAGGATTTGGCGACAATGCTGCATTATATTCGGCTGTGATCGTCGGGTCTGTCAAAGTTCTCGGTACCTGGTTATCCTTGGTGACAGTGGACAGATGGGGCAGAAAAATTCTGTTCTATGAAGGAGGTATTCAGATGATCCTCTGCCAGGTAACATCTCATCTCAAGCCGTGAACAAAGTGTCACTTCATTGCTCAGGGTTAAACTCTGATCGACACACGAACAACTGACACAAATTTAACTTCCTGTTTTGTGCAGCTTGCTGTGGGGACCATCATGCAAATGGAGCTCGGAGCTCAGAACACTTTGGACAAGCCCCTGGCAGTGGCAGTGGTTGTTCTCATCTGCATCTACGTAGCTGCATTTGACTGGTCCTGGGGTCCACTGGCCTGGCTGATTCCCAGCGAAATCTACTCACTGGACATTCGCTCTGCAGCTCAAAGTGTTACCGTGGCAGTAAATTTTGCCTTCACTTTCCTCATCGGTCAGATTTTCTTGACCCTGTTCTGCGAGCTCAAGTGGGGAACATTCTTCCTCTTCGCCGGCTTCTTGGCTTTCATGACATTGTTCGTGGGATTGCTGCTGCCTGAAACTAAAGGCGTCCCGCTCGAGGAAATGGACCTCATCTGGAAAAAGCATTGGTACTGGAAGAGGTTCGTCAATGACGACGAAAATGACATCGAGCTGAAGGATAACAAGCAATCCTCTCTTGAAGCTTAAAATCGCTTCAATGTAGCTTTATTTCACAGGTTTTATACACTGTAAATATCTGGATACTGTATCGTATCCACAGGTTGCTCTTGAAAACTGTTGAGTTCGTGATCATACATATTCAGCTGAGTCCAGATCAGTACCCATGGATTCATGGTGAGCAGCCGATTCCAGATGTATGATAGTACCGAAAAAATCATCATGTGCTGTCATATTGATAGCACGGTGACACGATAGAAGAGCTATGCCTTACATTTGCATCATCAAGTGACTTTACTCATGGCAAGTAAATAAAGGCGACATTTTTCCCGATTGTAGCTCTGGCAAAACCGTATGTGAATAAATAACTGTGTCAGTCATTTGAAAGATTGCAGCAGAGTCTTAAACTTCTCGTTCTGTTCAGTTCGACGGTTCGAATCGTACAAAGGCAACAGATGTTTGCACCAGATCGGGAATACTTGATCTACAGTAAAGTAACTCGGAGGAATGTGGCAAGAGCAATACTAATATAAATGAATCGATAGATTTGACTATCATCTATTCAAGAGGTATCGCAGGATTACAGATATGTTTAAGATCTAAATTAAAACTTCCAGATATGTTTAAGATCTAAATTAAAACTTCCAGCGATATTTTTCACAAGAAGTTCAACATGCAACTTCATGTGGTATCTAAGATTGTGTGCTCATAAATGGAAGGTACTTAGTATACATCCTAACTTACAACACAACATTAATCAGCCGGGTTTCACTTGAATACCATTTATATAAGAAATCCTGAACGAGTTATTGAGAGACCTGATTAAAAATTTCCTGGTTAACGTCTTTTATCGCAGTAAATCTGGAGCAGGGAGTTTCATGAATGTTTATCTTGGGACCATGTGGTTAGGTTAAAGAATGTAAAGCTCCTTGACTATCTTTTGCCGAGCAAACTTGGATGTTTTCAAAGTTTATACAAACATATAACATCTAAGATTTTATTTTTTTGGAAGCAAACGGTGACTTTATTCCACTGCAAAGTCGATAAAACACCCCGCAAGCCGAACACATGGAGGTATGCTGGCAATACCCATTTTTGTTTTTCTACCTGATAAGCCTATGAACAACCTGATTACCTAGAGATGAAAGTGGCAAGTGGTGGCCGCTTGTATTTCCACACTACCTTTCCACCCCTACGTGAAAAGAAAACCTCTTGATGGTTCCACATGACACTCAGCTCCCTCATTGCCTTTGGCACCTGGTGTGGTTGGTGCCTCTCGCACCAATCTATCTTAGCTGTTGCCTTTCTACCCAAGTCGATTACCACATCCCATATACGTTGTTCTAAGAGTGCTGGCGGCCATATATGGTTGTGGAAGACGAACTGATTCCCCTGGATCCACAAGAGCCAAAGCACCGTTCCCGGAGGAGTGTCCAAGACCTTGACACTTGCTGAAGATGAAGCGGAAGCGGCTCGCTGAACAAGCATTGCTTCCAAGAAAGAGGAAGCCCCGCCATGCTCAAAACTCGGGTTCTTGTAGCGGCATGCATCACTGACATTGCGAAGTCCCAAGCATGTATTGCCATCTTAGAGTTTTAGAAGCAATGCAATATTGATTCGTGTTCTCCTGCCTCACAACAAACACATAGATTGGATGCTTCTGCAAAGGCTTGATGGTGCCACTGGTTCACTTCGACGGTCCGGTGATAAATACTCCACAAAAGTGCTGCTTCTTTTTGAGGCCGAGGGCTTGTCCGCACTTACTTCGAGTCCAACGTGAGTGACGCCGGTAGCACTACGTTCAATTTCTCATGGATGGAGAGGAGAGGTGAGTTTGCGGTTGACGAAGTATACGGCTCTTATTAGCTTTGTAAATGTAGAATTGGTCGCCACCTCGGCAAGTCCAACAACCTGGGTCGAACACCAACCTACACAACAACGCCAAATAATACATCCGACCTTTGTGTGAGCTCAATTAGGAGCTCATTTATTTATTTAGCATTAGTTAGGAAGGGTATGATGTAGTACAACACTCAAGGAAAGGAAAAAAAATATAAAAATAATCAGTCAAATAGTGACAATGAGAAATTAGTAACCTTAAGTAGTTTGAGACTGTTATCTAGAAAACTTTTTGAATATGTGCCAAGAATCAATAACCAAGTGTGAGAGGCGGGCAGAAAGGAGATCAGGTTTCTTGAATCGAGCGGAGTGGAGGAGTGAGGAAGGGGAGATTGTGTGGAGTCGAATTGCTTGGGCTTGGACACTGCCGTTTGCTTCTTCTTCCTATTGTCCATCGAGCCGTGTGAGAGGACGGAGGCGCGCTGCTCCTACTGCTGTCGGAGGTGGGCGTGAAGGTTGATGAAGGTGTGTGTTTGGCAGCAGCTGCGGTTTTGTTGGTGTAGGTGCAATTGCTGGTGTTTGTGATCGGTCCGTGAAAGGATGAATGAATGACCGACCGGCCTCTCGGAACGAGGACAGAAGTTAGCATATGAGGAGTTCGTTCGGCCGGTTGACAAGAAGGAGAGGAAGGGAGGCCGAATAGAAGAAGTGAAGGATGGGGAGGTCAAGTGAAGAAGTGAAATCAAACGCAGGATGATAACTCACCTGAAGGTTGCGACGTGAGTAATATATCGAGTGAAGGCAAGCAATCCAAGGATAGTCTTGTTGCCGAACTTATAGTGAAGAAGAAACTGCGCAGAAGAACTATTAGAATTCCGTTGGAGATCAAGGATTTTAGTAGGGGATCGAATATGCGCCTCTCGGAGAAGTATATAAAGTAGGTTGTAACTCGTATGGAAAAACTTCATCTAAAGGATGCAGAGAAAAGAAAGACAGCATAGGCCAAGAACAGTTTGGAAGCATATGCTACCAAGGACAAGTTTGAATCATTGGAAGGTATTGGAACAGTTTCTACGGAGGAGCAGCGGGATAGTCCACGGGCTGAGCTTAATGAGGCAGAAGATTGGCTGTACACAAATGGTGAGGATGCCACAGCTGCAGAGTTCAAGAAAAAGCTGGATGGTCCCAAGAAAAGTGGCGATGCCATGTTCTCCAGGTTAGACGAGCTCATTGCTAGTGCCGCTGCAGTTTCCGAGGCACGGATTTATCTTAAGACAATCACCGAGACTCTTGAAGAGTGGGAGGAAAGTAAACCGTGGATACTAGTGAAGAGCAAAGACGATGTGCGAAAGAAGAGAAGAGAGGGTGAGCAGTAAAGAGAGCGACAAGAAGAAAGAAAGAGGCTAGGAGGAATGAGACAGGAAGCGAGTTGTGATAAAGACATAGACGGGGAGAAGTACAGGTACAGACGCGCCTGGAGCGCGTTCCTAGATAGAACATTGGATACATAGCAGGCAATATCGTATCATTTATTTCAGTCCAAGTAGGAGGATTAAAGTAGTCCGTTGCCTGAAAGATGATAGTAGTTCCCGTCGCTAGGTGGTCTTGGAGCACGCCTAGCCACTTCGACTCAACAGCTTGCCGAGCGGTGCGGTTGTACGTGGCGATTTAGGACTAAGATATCCGAGTATGAAACCCTTGAATAAGCACATGTTCGGTTGCCCACAAGCCAAACTTTTGTTGTAAGTTCGCTCATAGGCGGGGAGTTATGCTGCCATCTTTGAACAACTTTTGAAGACTCAAGAGTTCACGACTAGCCAAAACACGGGTTAAGCGCTCCGTGTACTCAAAGTTTGATCTTACAAAGTAGTTTGTCCACCAAAGCTGTGTGTTCAACACCTTGTCCGCTTTGACAGGCCCAACTGATTAATAGCGGACTAGGTTGTGTCCATGCTTTCGTCATACGCTCCCATATGGGTGAGCTTGGGGGGAAGAAAACTACTCTAAGAAGGCCATTGGAGGCTACTGTACCAATTACGGGAGTTGGGAGGTTGTATTCCTCTGAAATGATGTTGAAGAAGAATATGCTTTGGTGCATCGCCGTGAGTTAAAGCTCGGATTATCCATTTGTTTGTGAGTGTGGTCAAGACTTCTTGTGGGTCTATCAACCCCGATCCGCCCACCAATTTACCTACGCAGCAATGGGTCCATCAAACTAGAGGTCGGGAGTGCTCTTCATTCCCTGACCACAAAAAAATTTGAAGTGATGCGCGAATGTTGTTAAGTATTGCCTTTGATCCACCCATTAAACTAAGAAAGTACCTCAGCGTCAACAATAACACAGAGTTCATGATCACTGTCTGGGCTACCAAGGAAAGGTGAATGAACTTCTGATAATGTAGCTTGCGGTTGACCTTCTTAGCAAGAAAAGCATCAACATCCGTTGTCGCTAAGAAGACGTCAAAGTGCGTTCCAAGGAGCTTAGATAGAAAATTTGATGGGGCAATCTCATATCCAAAATTGGCTAACCACTATGGAGAAGGGTCTCGGCCATACCAATAAAGAACACACTTTTCATGATTGATCGTGAGACTTGTTGCTAATCCAAAGTCTCGAAGCAAGTTGGAGACGACAAAGAGATTTTTTTGAGTTTCGCAAATAGAGTAAGCAGTGTCGTTGGCGAACTGCGACATCACTTGTTAAGTAACTCCATCCGGGAGCAAAATACCTCTTAGTCGGATTGTGAAGAGCTCATGGTTGGAGATCGTTGCTAGTAATTCTACAATGATAAGATATAGATAAGGGGCGAGGGGCATCGCTGCCGGAACCCTCGCCTGATTGGAAAAGCTTTCGTCTTGAAACTGTTAATGAACACAGCTGGCAACGCATCCATAAGTAGGATCTGCAACATCTTGACAAGTGAATCCGGGATGCCCATTTTCATGACTTTGAACATAAAAGACCAACATACAGTGTCATAGGCCTTGCAGAAGTCCAATTGAAGCATGATGAGATCCTGATTGGATTTTGGAGCCTAGTCAATTGTTTTCATTCTACATAAGATTATCATATAACATGTAGGGAGGATAAGAAGGCCATTTGCTCTTCATGGATCACCTTGGGTTATAACACATGGAGTCAAAGTTGAAGTAATTTTGCCCATATCTTGTATGAAGTATTCAATGACATAAGAGTTCGCCAATTTTGAATCATTTCAAACTCTTCTTCTTTTGGGAGAAGCACCACCAACCCAGTGTTCATTCCTAGTGGCAATTGCCCGTCATCGAAACATTGGTAAGCATTTGGCAAAAATCTTTTTCTATGAGTCCCCATAATTTTATGTAGAATTTTGTAAGTACGCAGTCTCGACTTGGACTTTTCTCCGTTGCCATTTTCTTCAAGGCAGCTAGGACTTCTGGTTCCTCCAGCTTTCTACCGAGTTCCTCAAGAACTGATGTTGGGAATCTATCGATGAATGATGCCATGATGAGTTTGAG